GTTTTAGCCCCAGTACATGTGCCGTTCATGTACCCCTAATATAAGAAGGATAATGCTCGACCGATAAGAAAATTGGACAAAAAAACAGGGACCAAATAATATGAAAGTGCAATAATACTGCTTTTAATACCACTTTTTTTTTATTTATTTATTAAAAATTCCAGTTTCACTGAACTACTTGTCACTTGCTATATCATTTGAGTTCTATTTTCGATTTCGAGTTTTGGTCAACATAATATTACCGGCCCCTATTACAATTGGCTGGACGGATTGAAAATTGAAACTAACAAAAGGACCTTAAAAAACAACAAGACTAGATGGATTCCAAATGCAAATTATGAAAGTTTCCACTGAAACTAACCCATACATATTTGTAATCTTTCAATGAATGAATCCTCATTCTGTAATTCAACACCCCTACCCTCCTCCCTGGTCCACTAGGGAAAACAAATCTTCAAAAGTTCCAACTTTATTATGAACTTTTAAAAAAAAACTTTTATAAGTTCATTGCATTACAAGATGTTTCTGCTAGTGATGAAAATGTCTTGTATTGGGAAAAACAATCTAGAATCCATTTCCCCAATCGAACTGGTAAGTTTTTCTTCTCAAGAATTTGGAAATCTAATTGTACTGGGAAGTAGGGGTATTTCGGTCCAATAAATATCATAAATTCACGGCTATATCTTTAATTCATTCTCTTGCCTTTTGTTTTAAAGAACTCTGTCTAATCTTGATCTTTTATAGTGAAACTTGGTCGTTGTGCTTTATTTGGGAATATCTATCTTTGAACCGCACTATGTAAATTTGTATGGTCTGTATTTTCTTATTTTGTTATAGTGGGTCTAGTGCATACAGAGATAGGACATATCTTTATCATGGTTCACCTAAACTTTGAAATAAATGCTGAATTAATTAGGTGAACTAACCTATTAATTAACCTAATCTCTATCACTAGACTTGGTAAATAGACAAGGGTAACAAAATAAATATGAAACCAGAAAAAACAATTTATATCAAAACTATGCACTTTTCCCATGAACTATTAGCTCATAATGGAGAAGTTGAGATGAGAAAGCTAATTATTGTAACATGATCAATTAGTCATATCATATGCATATTAAATATATTTATAGAAAAAGTAACACAAATAAATAAAAAAAAAAAAATTCTTGAAACCAAGCATGAAGAACTATCCATAAACACTACGATATAGCTTTAAAAACACACACACATAAAAGAGAAGATGAGAGTGAAGGCCTACCCTAGACAAGAGGCATATCAAAGATTGCATTTGGTTTCTTCCCACAGAATCTCCAACAAAGGCCATGGATTTCCCTCTGACAATGTCAAGGAACTGATAAGGATTGAAGATAGGAAGCTCACACCCATCTGGTTTCCACCTCCATTTCATGAACTCAGAATCTGGTCTTCCATATTTCATACAATTCTGATGCTCGTGGATCGCCCAACATGTCGTGTTGGTGTAGTATGGGGCGCCAGGATTCGGAACCCATTCTCCAGTGAAAATGTCACACTTCTCATTCTCTGTTATCTTTATCGAATTCTCATCCGAATGGTATGGAGGGGATGATTCAGTAGAGTTCTTCAGAAAAGATTTGTACCTCAGAAAAGGGTAGTAAAGAGGGACGACTGTGAGGATGACTAGTGTTAGGGCTAGCAGAAGAACTGTCTTTGGGATTTTCTGAGCTGTGGGGTTTCTCCCAAAGGGAAGCTCAATGGCTTGGAGCTTCATGGAAGAGGTCTATGGAGAGAAATGGAGAGAGAAAGATGGAGGCAACGTCTCTTATACAATCCAGACATGATCTCATACATGTTAAAAAATAATATAATATAATATAGAGTGAATATGACCTAAATCAAGTCACTTCAAGTCACTTAATAATATAGTTTCATTGTAATTATTAAATTAATATCATGTTTTAATATTTGATGAAATTCAAAATCAATTCAAGGAATATAACTAATTATGTAAATAAATTAAGTTCCAATAAAACATAACGTTAATCCAACGGTTATAATAAAACTACATTATTAAGTGAAATGATTAGGTCATATTCACTATATATTATGTTATATAATTTTTTAACATTACTACCAAAAAAGTGTGGATGTATGCATCTTTTATCGGAAAAAGCCAATGGGATTTTGTGATCTAGTACTGATTCAGATTGATTTGATAACCAAACTTTGATAAACTTTTTGATAAATGTAGGAGTGACATTTTCTATTAATCAAAGTTATATATGATTGTATTTCCTAAATACAGATCTGGACACGAGTTATTTGTCACTATAAAATTTGGAGAGAAGTAGATATTGTTGGTAATAGTGGGTGATTAATTTTAATAAGGTCTTGCTAACTTTGGTGTTAATAATGTTCTTTCGGTTTTACTTTTGAATGGGAATGTGTTCCCTACCAAAAGTCAATGGAATAGTCTAACAATAGTACTATTTGGTTGTTGGGTTAAATAATAGGTTGGGGGAAAGTCATGGGATAGTCTAACATAGTAATATTTGGTTGTTAGGTTAAATAATAGGTTGGGGGTGCAGGGAATATCTCACGGCGGTGAATATCTCGCGGCTGAGAATGCCCCTAGACAGGGAATACCTCGTGGTAGAAAAAGAGTATTTTGGGGATTTTCAATATGCCTTTCGTAGAGGAGTTTTACCAGAATTTGGTAAGTTTGGAAATTTAGTAGGATTTGTCAAGTTTGAAAGTTTACCAGGAATTGATGTATCAAATTTACTAAGACCAAGTGTATAGTTATTAACAGGTGCCTATAAATATGTTGTAACCCTTTAGGATTCGAATAATAACAATAAAGAAAAGCCCTTCTTGTGGATGTAGGTAAAATTTCTATCGAATTACGTAAATCTTGTTCTATGGTGTTCTTGACTTTCTCGATTCTTGATTGTTCACCTTTGTTGCACCTTCAAGTAACAAAGCTATTGGTTATTTGATCCAATGACAGGGCATTCTTCATTGGCTAAGTATGAAGCTGTGAAATTTGATGGCACGAAAAACAATGGGTTATGGCAGAGAAGAGTTAAAGATTTGTTGGCGTAACAAGGATTGGTGAAGGCATTGGAAGAAAAAGTAAAGAAATCAAAAAGGATGTTGGCAAATGATTGGGAAGATATCCAGATGAAAGCGGTGAATAGAATTCACCTCTATTTGGCAGATGATATTCTATACCGTACGTGTCATGAATGATGAATCTCCATTAGTTATGTGGAAGAAACTGGAGATTCGATTCATGTCAAAATTTTTATTGAACAAACTCTATCTTAAGCATAAGTTGTATAGGCTTAAGATGGTGGATGGTTTGGATCTGGCTCAACATATCAATCTATTCAATCAGATTATCAACAATTTGTTGAGAATTGATATCAAGTTCAAGGAGGAAGATTAAACATTAATGCTTCTGACTTATCTTCCTACTTCATACGAGAATCCGGTTACAACTCTATTGTATAGGAAGGAGACATTGACTACCGAGGAGATTGTAGGGCCCTGTCGGTGTGTAATCAACGGAGGCAAAGTATTATTGAATGATCCCAAGGTGAAGGCTCGAAGCAAAGGATAATTAGGATCGTGGGAAAAACAAGGACATGAAGTGTTTCAAGTGCCATGGGAGAAGACACATGAAGAAGGATTGTCCTAAGATAAAAAAGGGCAAAGAAACAAAAAACAAGGAGAGAGCATCGAACACAACAAAAATAGAACAAGACACAAATTATGGTGATATCAATATTATCAGAACTGGACCAATCATCAAATAGGTAGGGAGACCGAGTCAATGGTTCACTGTTCAATCGTTGAGTCAATTAGTCGGACCAATCTTATAATAAAAAATAATAATTTAATTAAAAATATAAAATATGTCTACAATATATTATAATATAATTTGCTATAAAATTAACACCATAAACATATCTATATAATAAAACACATAGCAATTTAAATTTTTATCTCCTACATATTTTTTTTTTTAAAAATATCACATCACTTTTTTTATCACATATTCAATCATTTAATATTTAATTAATTTATAGTTGGACATAATTTTTTTTAAAACATTATCCATATACGATAGTATACACATGTTAAAAAAATTTAATATAGTTGGATCGATTTTTTGGGTGCTTGAATTTTATGTTTCATCGTGCTTGAAGACATAGGTTATGACTAATAGTTTTATAAAATTAAATAAAAATAACTAAAACTTTTGATAATGCTGATATACCAGGCATGCCTTTTTGCCTTCTTAAGGCAATGGCCTTTTCGAGGCATGCAATAATATTCTTTAAATTTAAAATCACTGATAGAAAATAAAATACAAATGAACCGGTGTGTGTGTGTGTTCAATTATCTCATTTGTGTTGTGTGTGTGTGTGTGAGAGAGAGAGAGAGAGAGAAATAATAGAAGAGAAGACTTACAAGCAGAAGGAAGGCGAAAGGAGAGAGATCAAATAGCTGGCTCAATTGCCAGAGTTGAGTCTTCTGATCTCCTGCTGCTACCTTGTTGTGTTGCGGTTGTGGTGTTGTTGCTATGCATTCGGAGAAGTGAAGACAGAACAGGAAGGGCTCGATTTAAGGCAATTTTGCCCTAAAAAATTGATTTTAATATTTTTAGTCCCTTAAAATTTGAATCGTCTGGTTCAACAATCCATCCAATTCTCCGGTGTTTTATAAAACAGTCCGATTTATAGGTTCAAAGCTGGTTTGATTCCCTATCTAGTCTAATTCAAAAATCGGACTAGCTTAGGATTCGGTTCACAGTCCAACCAGTTCGATCGGCCGATCTAGTTCGATTTTGATAACATTGGGTGATAGTGATTTACTTTCGATCTCAAGAAATTATGATGACATGGCAGACTCATGGATTCCGCATGCTATAATAACATGTCGTCTAATCAAGATTGGTTCGACACTTACATGTTAGTTAATTGTGGTATTGTTCTAATGGGTAATGATGCATTATGTAAAATTGGAATTGGCGCAGTTAGGGTTAAGATGTTTGATGGTGTTGTGAAAACTTTGGGTGATGTTAGACATGTTCCAAATTTTCCAAAAAAATCTGATTTTTTTGGAAACCTAACTCCAATGGCTGTGGTTACAAGGCAAAAGGTGGAAGATTGATGGTAACCAAAGATTCCATGGTGATCATGAATGGACATAAGATTTCAAAGAATATCTACAAGTTGGAAGAAAGTTATATTGTAGGTGGAGTTGTTACAGATAAATATTTTGAGACTGAAACTAATGACACTTTGTCATAGCATATGCGATTAGGGCATATGGGAGAACATGACATCATGGAACCAAGGGTGGAGTTATGCATGATCCAGGGTGGGCAAGTGCTCCCCCTCAAAAAAAATTATTATATATTTGTATAATATATCACTTGTGCTCATCCAAAACCAAAGACAAAAATACTAGGTCCACTACCGTCCACCCAAAAGAATTAAAAAACCAAGCATATTCAAAACAAAAAAACTTCTGGACCCATATTGTTGAAATCTGAGTATTGTACAAAAAATTATAACTTAATCACGTTAAATTGTGACTCAAATAGATCGAGTTGCAACTCAATGGAATTGAGTTAGCATTGATCCTCAAAATTTGGGATGGATCCCAAATTGTTGAAATTTGGGATCACTTTAATTTTTTAACAGATTGAGCTGCCAGTTAATCATGATGTTTCATATCTTCTCAATTTTTATTTGGGTATGGTATAAATTTAGAATTTTTTGTAATACATGTAGTCATAGGGATAAAACTGAACAATATTGTAAAGACAAATAGGACAATGAGACAAGTTTTTTATTTTATAAAGACTTTTTCTAGATTACCTTAATTTTATTATTTATAAATTTTTGCAAGTGAAAATTCCTGCAGTTGACCTTCATTTAACTCTTTTTTTTTCTACAAGAAATCGTCTCTATTTTTATTCTAGTATTAATTATAATTTTTACTATGTGTCAATCAATTTTAAAGTTTTTTACTATGTTTATCTCTTAAATTTGAGTTTAGTAGTTGTACTACGCTAATATCTCAGTGTGTTTAGATTATCGTTTATTGAATAAATTTAATGAATTTTTAGTAAATAATTGATATTTTTTAATTGCAAAAATGACAATTAGGCTTTATTTTTTTATCAATGGTGCTAATTAATCATTTTTTATACATATACAATATACATTATTTTTTGACATTTTTTTATGTTAAATGGACTTCATGTATTAAATGTGATATAATAAATACAAATATATTGTATAGCATGATTGTTTAGGAAGAAAAAAATTAGAGTGCATAAAATTTTTTGACTCCACCCCTAAATAGAATTGCATAAAAGAAAGTTATTACAGGGGGTTCAATCATACAATCTAGATTCTTGCAAATTTTTTATTATGGAAAAAACAGGACAATGTAGTCAAGGGTATCTTAAGATACTTAACAAGTATAGCAAACTGTGCTATTAAATAGCGGGATTGTATATCAATTATGGGGTATATAGATGCTAATTATGCTAGGGTTTTAGATGACACAAAGTTTACTACAAGGTATTTGTATACACTTGAAAGGCGACTACTATGTTGGAGATTCATGTTACAATCTCTAATAAGTCTTTCTACAACTGAGGCAGAATATAAAGCATAAGGTATATTGTAATAGTCAAAGTATAAAGCATCTGGGAATGACTAATGTTGCCGAGGAAGCGATGTGGGCAGAAAAAATTGATAAAAGAGTTTGAGTTTAAGCAAGGCGAAGTTCGATTGGATTGCGATAGTTA